ACTTTTATTAACTTTTATGGAAAAATTGAATTCAAATTTATGCCCTTGCTTTTAATTTTCTCATCAAATTCATTCACAAAAAATAGTCACTAGGAATCGGAAAAATTCAGATAAATATATCCCTGAATTTCAGTTAATACCAGCAGAAACGCCGACATCAAAAACTGTCAAAAGAAATTCTGCAAAATGGAAAAAAAAATGAATTGACTTCGTTTTTCTGCCCTTTTCGGATATATCTCCAAAACTAACATAGATACCCAAATTTTCCTGAAAACCTTTCTTCTAGAGCTAAAAAAGACCGATAAAAAAGACCCCACAATAATTTCCGTATCTCCTGCAGTTTCCGAGATATTTCCAAGAATCTGACCGTATATAAAAATCAACTCACATGCTATCACCATCAATGAATTCGTGAGTAAAGATACCAAGTAATTTATCGTAAAAATTTTCAAACTGTACATTTTATTTTCCCCTGATAACATAAAAGTATTATTAAGATTCACGGGCAAATGCCCATGTAGTGAACGAGAGACGAAATAAAAAGGAAATAAAGACTGCACTGGGACGAGGTCACACATACAACCGTCGAATGACTAAGAAAAATAAAAATAAAAAAAAAGTGTATTGAGGAAGAAGGGGTACCTGCGCCTTACGCAATCCACCGGTGTATTAAATTGAATCATTTTATATCTTTCACGACTTGAAAAAATTCTTGTTTCATTGAGGGTAAAATCACGCATGCGCTAGATTACACCGATTCTTAACCGTATCTTCGATTATTGGGTATAAATAGGTCTTCCAGGGATGTTGATAAATAAAGTAAGTGGGACAGTGGAATATCGCCGGTCAATGTTTATAAGTGAATGAGCGCAATACCTATCAGGTGATGATAAATGAGAATGGACCAACAATCGCGTTGATTTTTTTTTTGCCGATTATTCTGACATTTCTAGAGGCGTTTTGCCTGTTGGCTAGCGTCCTGGTGATGTCATGGTTTAAACATAGAGATTATCCTACACAGCGGTGTAACAAGCAGTCGACAAAAGCTGTTGCTCTTTAGTCAGCATGAGCATTCGTATTTATCTTTCCCTCGCCCTTTATGGCGCAGGGAATATTGACAGAGCGAGGTTAATGATTAGGGGAGTACTTGAGGAATTTTTTTGAGGGCCCGGACAATGGGATTGACAAATTCCTAAAGGGTGTGGTCAATGAGTCAGATTCAGAGAAAATTTTTGGCGTTTTCAATTCGTCGATTTCGATTGGAAGTCTAACCAACTGGAATTTTTATTTCAATTCGACATAATTTTTTATTGATGTCAGAGAAATTGTGACAGTAACGGAAAAATTCAGGTTAGCTCTGGATTTTTTTTTACGAAATTACATTTTGCCATGCGTTTGCGGAACTGTAAAGCGATCAATTATTGATTAGGAGAAAATTGATTTGGGAATTTTTTTGAGGACCGGGGTAATGAGATTGACGAATTCCTCGATGGAGTGGTCAATGACTCAATGTCCTAATCAATTCTCATCTTTTTCAATTATTTGATTTCGATTGAAAGCTCCAGTAATTTACAACACTTTCACTTTTTATGAATTTTTCAAGATATTATAACGACTATATTTTCGCGCTAAACCGTCAACTGCTCGTGAAATACAATTTCAATGATTAATTAATAATTCAATTATCTGTCATCACTGGAAACCTCTCAATTATTTTCAATATATATTTCTTGGAAAAGTTTTAAGAGTATTCCAGTATACTGAAAATTTAATTATTCCTAAATTATCATTATTTCTTTTTTCTTTATTTAAGTGGAATACGTAATTTGTACTTCAGATTCTTCTTGCCCTTTATCACCCGAACTATTGATCGAGCAAGGTTAATTCCTAGGGGAAGACTGTAAATTTTGTGCGAAGGGGGACAAAGAGATTAACAAATCTACACGAAGAACAATTTTCAAAAAATTCTAATGGAATTTTGGCCCACGTTGTATTAAATTCTACTCTAGTCGTTGGGTTTTCTACCTCTCAAACATTTTCATTGTCGCAGAAACGAGTAAATATAATCCACTATTTACACCATCGCGAATCGTCAAATACCGTGACATTCCTGCTCCCCACAATTTGAATAAACTCAACTCAAACATTCAGAGAAAAAAAAAAGATAGAAAAAATCACTTGAAAGTAGTTGTTCCACACATTTTTCCTCGTCCCACTGGATTCCATCTTAGAATTCCCTCACAACATCCAATTGTTTATTTCCCCACACTCTGTTTACCATTCAATTAACACCAATTAACATTTCCCTCGAATAACCCCTGAAAACCTAGATCCAAAAAGAAAAATGAATCTGCTCCGAACTCCACCACGAAAAACCCCAAAAATTCTCATGCCCCATCATTCCCCGAATCTTCCCCACCTTCATATATAAATAACCTGTAATAAAATCCAGAGGTCACGACTTGTAAATAAATTCCCATCGAACCGTCGCCTAATCACACGACAACTGCTATCAAGCAATTAAATTCCAAGAACGCGACTAAATCAATTGGCCAAAAATACAACAAATGGCATTTCCTTACCGATTGAACAATCTCGTACCCGAAAATTCCTGGTATTCCACAAACAAAAATCACTTTCGTTCTTCACCCGATAAACGTAACTCCTCAAAAATCTCTTCCTCAAGATATTGACCAGATCCACCGAAACACTTGACACAGCAGGAGATAATCCCCTATTCAATTCCAGCCTGAGATACTCCCACAGATCATGCGTAGGCCAGTACTCATAGATAAGTAATAACAATAGATTAATAATAAAGAAAATAAAAAATGGTCGCGACGTAACGGCCCTGGAAGACGCCACAGAACACGCCCGTACGGTATCGCAAAGCCGTTCTGCCGCTCTCAATATTCCCCCAGCCCCACGTCAATGTTTCGGAGAGGGGAAAAATCCCCCTCACCTTCTCCCAACAACTTCTTCACTGTGTTAAAGGCATTTGTACACTTTCCAACACAATGAAAAAAGAAGAGCCCAGGCCAATCCAGCGCTAGCACCGATTCACTCCCTCTCGTTATTTGTCCCTCTCATTTATTTATTTTTTTCTTTTTTTTTGGTGAACGCATCACTCTTGAATTTCGTGGCACGCATTCGGTGAATAAAACACTCTGACCACTTCTACAGGGAATTATGTGTGGACGCTGACATAATAACCCGCGTGGGCCGTTTCGCTGGTTCTACCGTTTCGTTTTAATGAAATGAATAATTTTTTTCGGGGGATCGACTATTGTATTGGAGATAAATCGGGGACTTATTGTTCTCGATTTTATTGGATTTTTGTGGGGATTTTTTAGATATTTTTATATTTACGGTATAATAACATTTGAATTGAGTTCAAAATGCTCAATAGATTATTTGCGAAATTTGAATTTTGAGTTGGAAAAATATCAGTCTCGAGGGGAAAATTATTTTGGACTTTACAATAAAAATTACGTGATTCGGGAGAATTCAATATTTGTGAGGCCACGAATAATTACGACAATTGCTCGTGGATTCTATTGGTTAGTGTCGAATTAAACTGATGTACAGAGCAAAAAAATTAATTTAGCTATTATGGAATATTCAAATTTTGGTAAAAAAAATCTTTTCTTTTGGAAAAGATTCTGTCAAAATGGTTCCTTGTTTTATTTTATCTTCACATGGGCCAAGATCGATACAGAATTATGGAACGAGGCGTGTAAAAATATAGAGAGATAACGAATTTTTCGAGACGAACTCGGAAAATTTATGGTTCTCACTTATCTTTTCCACAGGAATACCCAATATTTCTCTGAATTTTCATTTGAACAGAACAACATCAGAATATTTAATTTCTGAGAATTGCAGGAATTTTGCTTGAGATGTCCGAATCCTCAAACTATTAAAAATTCAATAAATTCCATATCTCATAATTGAATTCTGGTAATGAAATTAAAAATTCACACCGTCCTTAAAATATCAATGATCACTCCTAAAAGTTCCCTAAAATTGTTAGAAATCCTGTACAACAAATCCTAAATTCTCAATATGAATGGGAACTTCTGTGGACGATGTAATCTCCAACTGAAGGAAACCCCTTATCACCAAGAACTCAGTTATCTTAACTGTAGATGCAACGAAATTCTACCGTTGTATTAGTTAATTCCACCCAGAAGATCGATTTACACACATCTACTACTGACAACAGTCTACTACTTCGCAATGACGCCGGAGTGACAATGCCTGTAAAATGCCACCTGTGACCAGAACACGTGCCTCCGTAGGCGTGCACATCAATCCCCCAGGTGTTCCCCAGAGCCAAGAGTTCCTTAACCCCCAGACACCCCAACCCATTCCCTCAAAATCCCCCAAAATCCCTCAAAATTCCGCCACATGTTCGCAAAAGAAAAAAAAACGCCAACCCGGGTGCCTCCACTAAACTCTCCAGAACCCGCAAGAAAATTCCGTCACCTCCGAGAATATAAATAACCCAACCTCGGGCTCCTCAATCAAAAGCCCTGGTTCCCCTGTAAAATCCACTTTCCCCCAAAAGACACGGTAGAAAGTGCCGGAGAGAAGAATAAAAACCGATAAACCGGAGGCCCAAAAAACAAGTCTGTTTATCTGACCTCCAAGAGGTGCCCCAGGGCCGTAAACGGTCACTAGAGAGGGCGGCAAATGGCGGAAACCCGTGACAAAATCCACTCCCTCATCTCCTCCCCAAGGACCCAACAAAAACTCCTGGGGTGGGAATCAAGCCCCGAGGATGATTTTCAACAGATCGAGTGCTCGGGGCATCTCCAAGGGGTTTAGATTCACTGCTGTCGAAGTGACACACCCCTATGCCCTACGTCATCCTCGCGCACTGAGATGCCATTTCGTCAAATATCTCCTCGATTTACGGAAAAAATAATGACACCGCGGGTACGATCTTCTCAGGGGATGCTGCTGGGGTTGTTTTTGGATTAATGAATTTCACTCACCTGTCAAGAGACACCGGCTTTTCCTTTCCAATGACAGACACCCGGAGGAACACACACTCACGGCACACCGAACACCGTTTGACTGGAGGTAGACACCAGAAGAGCGGGACTTGTACCTTCCGTTCGGCAATCCTCCTCCCCAGAGATCAACCGACAATTTCCAAGTATTTTCACAATTCACTCTAATTATCTCACTGTAAATTCACTCACTGATTACTCCCCACTGTTATCTTTCTCTTGGGCTTTCAAGAGATTTTTTATTCACTGGTTTTGGGGATAGTTTATGAGATTTGTCATCTCCCTTTTGTTTTGACGAGATAAAAAAACACGAATCGATCGGACGTTGGCCATTTATCGGCGTCCCGCGGAGGAATACTGCGCAGCCCTTCTGCGCAGAATCTCTTTCCGGGGTCTCAGCAGTTTTTTTTTCTTTTATGGAAATTCGGCGGTTTGAGAAGTGGTAAATAAGGGGTTGTTCGTGTTTTTTGGGAGGCATGAATTTTGAGAACTTTTTGAGTTTTCTGGAACGTTGGTTTTGGGTTCGCGACGGTTTTCCGGTTTTCAGCGCGTGCGCTGGCCATCAGCCAATCCGGTGAGTCGTTGCTCACGTACCGGGATCAGTGGTGCAGGCGGGAGAATCAATTCGGGGCAGTACGGATTTTTAAGGTCGAAAGAGTAAATTGAACCTGAAATAAGAATTAACAACATTGTAAAAATTTTATAAAACAATCGTACTTAGGTCGATTGAATTTTTCGGAGATATCTCTAAAGCTGAAGAATGTTGGAGACATTTTTACTGTAACTGTTTTGTAATTATCAGTTAGATGTACAAAAAGGTCATGATAAAAAATTGATTGATTGTTTTAATTCCATAAATATCCGTTATGGAATAACAAAAATACTTATCATTGACGCAGTAACAAATAACTGTTATATTTGACAGTGATGGAATGGTTAACGGTTTAATACTAATTTCTTCTCGAAGAAATGCCGATCTTTACTAGTTTCTTTTCAAAGCGATAACTACTCTTCTCGAGGACAAATTAATTAATCAAAATTTATTAAAATTGATCGAGTGGTTGATGCTGTTTTAAATCAAAAAAGGCAATTTCAGATTGTGATCGAGGTCTTCGGGAATTACCAGAGATGGAGTTGAGTGGAACTGCTGTTTGCAATTACATCGATTATCATTTTCGCTTATCGTTTTTGCGCTGAGTGATGGCATGACGTTAGAGCTCATGACAAGCTCTTCAACTGATTAGTGAAGACTATTTCCTTCTTCATTTTCGGTGAAAAATTCATGCCTCAAAATTTCGCACTGTTCACAAATTTTTTTTTCATTTTCCGCACTGAATCCCAGAAATTTTCAATTTACCATCAATACCTACTAAAGCCTCAAAAATCGAGAAATCAAATATTCCGTCATTTTTCTGTACGAATAATCTAAAAATCAATGCAAAATGCAAATGATGCCCTGATTCATTTGTGGGGACATATTTTTTGCGTGATAACGGCTGTTGGGGTCCTAGTCTCCTATTCTGAAAGGGACAAGCTTGACACAATCGATTATCTCGAAAATCTCGAAATCATGAGCCACGATTCTTTATTGGTCCGCCTAAAGTGGCGCGAGATTAAAAAGTCGTAACTCTCTTACAGAAATCGTTTCATACCCGCGCGCTTGCGCGCATTACGGATTTATAATAAATACTGAAGAGGCAGATGTGAGAACTGAATCCTCATTGACATTCATTAAGATTCAATCATCTCGAATTAAAGAGAGGCGTCATGCACTGAGAAAAAGAAAATCTTTTCTCAATCGTTTAACAATATTTACTAATTGCAAGAAAATATATTGTGCAATAGAAAGTTTTTCTCTGCATGGAATAGTGATTCAGTAATGAACGACAATAATATCAGATAGTAATTACACAATTCTATTATAACGCGTAATATTTCGGTCGTCAATATCTTCACAAGTGATTTTCAATTTTAAATTTTAATTTTGCTACTTTCAGTAATATTTCAATGTGATACCGAAATATGTTCCACAATCTAAGAAGATCCCGTTCTTGTACACAAATTCTTTGATTTTTTGCCGCGATATCCGGAAATTATTTTTATCAAAAGCAAACAAGCGATGTGAAGACCGTAAAAATTCGCAGATAAATTCTGGAGTAATACTCAACATATCGATGTGAAAACGAAAAAAAAAATATACGCATTTGCCTCGGGATCTCCTGTACACAGAGAAATAAATATATTTTCACCAAATATCCAGTTACTTAAACAAATCATGTAGTAATTTATTACCGTATTTCTCCAATCGAATCCCTTTGAAGACATTTTCCCATGTATTTTTCATTATTCAAATTATATCACTCCTGAAGATGATCCCGTCGATTACAGCTTTAAACGGATTTCGACGTGAATTCTCTCTGCAATTAGTAAAATTTAAATAACCTTGAAAATTTATGTACATCTTATGTTGAAGTGTAGTATTGAATATTCCATTGTTAAAGTATAATACTGTTTGCCTTGGGTATAAATTTATATATATATATAATGTACATATATATTCAGTTTATGTATTTATGTATTGATGTTGCGAGCCTTAAGTACTTTTAAGTTTCATTTTTTTTCCAATTCTTCGGAACTTTTTGTTCTTGTCTTTATGTTTACCTTCATCCAGAATGTTTTGTATTTTTCTTGCAATAAATTCCATTAATCAAAAATTCCTCCAAATGTTTCTCTCAGTATTCATTCTGAATTTTCACTTGAGACAGCTGAGCTTTCCCAGAATTCAAGAATTAAGGAAAAGTGTTCCGATATATTGAAACTCCGAGGGAGTCTGGAGTGGGAGTGGTCCCTCGAAACCCTTCGACCCTCAGGTCATTTTTCCTTAGGTCCCAAATTCCTCACTGACTTATTTATCCAGCCCTTCAGAAGATGAACACCAAGAAAAATACGCTCAATATTATCCGCTGTTCACTCTATCATGGTTTTACTTTGTTTCGCAACTGATACCCCATCGTTCATTCTGAATATCAATGCCCCACATCAATGATTCATTTGACGCGCAAACAAAAGTGATAACCGGTGATAACCTCGGTGAATTTTTGTTCACTGGAGGTAGATGGTGAATTTTTAAGTGCTAGTGAACACCTTCCCCAATCACTCCTACCAAGCGCTTCCAAAAGCTCTCATTATTTCTGCGGGCCGATCAATTTTTTATTCTTATTATATAACAACCAGTTCTGGGACTTGTTGATCAGTTGCTTTCCAGCGAGCGTCTCGGAAATTAATCACTGGTGATCCACTTGGCTGGCAGCTTCCAACATCAGCTCAAGTTCTTGTCAAATAACTTCGTTTGAGTCTCTCTCAACCTAGACCATGAATTCCATAAAAACAGCATTGGGCAGAGTGAGTGAATTATTTATCAAAATCACACATTAGAATCAGACTTATCGATTGACTCCAACGAATTTTTGGGGGGAGAAGATTTTTTTTAGTTATTGGCAAACGGTTTTTTTATTGCGTGTGAATTTTAAAGAGTTTAAAGAGTTTAAAGAGTTTAAACAGTTTAATGAATTTAAAGAGTTTAAAGTTTATATTGAAAGTGATTGTGCGGTTTGAATTATTTATTCTTTATTACTTTCTAGTTTTTTTTTCACCTGTTCTTGAATACGTGGCATTTGAGAGGATTGATCTTATGGAATTCCACTTGTGTCAATCTGCGATCAATGGTGGAAATAAATTTTATAGGCAATTAATTTTGCAGATTTCACAGATTGAATTGTTTGTTGGAGTTTGAATTGATATTTTTTGTCAATTTGAGGAAGTGAGAAGAATTCGATGAGAACATCATTATTATATTTATTATTATATTGTTATTATTTGAAAAAATTGCAATTAGAATTAGGATCATTACGGAAAAGGCTTGACCTTCGGACTTACTTTGTTTTCTACTTTGTGTGGAATACGTAATTTAATTAGATCGATCTCAAAGTCCTTCATTGGTGTCAAGAATGCATGACTATCAATATTTGTCTCAGATTTTTTTAATCAATTGTGTAGAAATTAATTAGAATGATAATTGAATTTTTTAAACATCTGATCATTGATCATTTTTTTTTATTTAAATTGGTTGAGTAACAATTTAGATTGGTTTTCTTACAACACAGAATGATTATCTATAGCGATAAGCGCCAAAATCGATTAATTATTATCAGATCCAATGTAAAATCGAATCGCACTTGATAGTTTATCAATTAATTAATTAATCGGTTCATTAAACAACTCACTAAATATTAAATTATACATCAGGGGTTGATTGAATATAAAAAAATGTGAAAAGTGAAGACTCGAACAATTCTTAATGCATGTCGGTTTTACCCCAGGTGTCCATATCACCCCAGCATCCCCTGTTCTATTTCGGTTCTCGTAAGATCGCACGTGATATAATCCAGAAGAAGAGACTCCACGTGTCTTCTCCAGCTTTAGATCACACACCCGGACCTTTGACTCAGTTTACAGAGGATGAGATTATGATGAAAGAGACTGGTAATTTCCACGAATTATTTTCCCTTTTGATCGTGATGTTTTTCTTTTTTTTTATCATTATGTATTTTATCAGTTGCTAAATTGGCGAGGGAAGAAATAGCGCCGCTTGTGAGGAAGATGGAGAAGGAGGGGAAGATTGATGATGGCTTATTGAAGAAGCTCTTCGAGAATGGGGTAATGTTATGAAGTGTTCAATTGCTGATTGTCAATATGAATAAAATCGATAACGAAGAGGTAAAGAGCAACAAGTGGACTGCCTTGTTGAGTTCTCGAAGAATATCTCTGAATCTATGAGAGATATTGAAATTTTTATCAGGACTTATTTTGTGCAGCTCAATGAGAGTTACAAAAAAGGTAATTAAAAAATTTTGGTATCTCGTCATGGTTCAGAGGTATTCTACGAAAATCACCGATTCACGTGTGGAGGAATTTCTGATAATTCCATCGCTTCATGGAATAATTCTAGAAAATCGTGTTTTAATCAGTTAACGTTTTCTGTCAGTTGATGGGATTGGAGATTCCAACGGAGCTCAATGGAGCCGGGAGCAACTTCCTTACGACAATTTTAGCTGTTGAGGAAATAGCGAAAGTTGATGGAGCAGTGGCTGCTCTCGTGGATATTCACAATACCTTGGTTAATTCTCTCATCATTAAAGTTGGTTCTGAAGCACAGAAGGCTAAATATCTTCCAAAATTGGCCCAGGAATGCGTAAGTCTTCATGTACATAAAATTGAATGCTAACTTAAGACAATTTATTGTCTCTCCTTTTCATGAACATCAACTGAGAAATAATCGGAAAAAAAACTTTTATCATAAATAATTTATCATAAATATGGGATAAAATTTGTTTCCTCATTTTTCAATGAAATAAAATTCATTTGGCTGAAGACCCTCGGGCTATAGCCTTTTGCAAGAAATTCCATATTCCTCATTTTTTCTTGCAATAAATTCCGTATCTACATCAATTATTTACACTGTCGATTGCGGTATCTTAGTCTACCACATTTCCATTGTTTCCACTTTTCGGTTCCTTCAAATATTGATTTTACATTTTGACAAAAACTGGTGTAGCATTTCAAGGATTTTCGAATCCGTAGACTTTAAAAAAGGATAAATAAATTCAGTTGAAGTTAAAATAAAACAAAATTAAATAAAAATTCATTGACAGGTAGGAAGTTTTTGCCTGACAGAGCCAGGATCAGGTTCAGATGCCTTTTCCCTCAAAACCGAAGCCAAGAAGGATGGCTCTCACTATATACTAAACGGCACAAAAATGTGGATCTCCAATTCAGACATCGCCGGAGTTTTTATTGTTTTCGCCAACGCAAATCCATCAGCGGTATTATTTCTTTATTTTTTACGAACATAACGTGACGTCAATTCTCTGCGACTTATCAGAGATGATTTCTCGTGGGTTCACGAGAGGTCATTAGTTCGATATAAATATTAATACTAATTTGCTTGAAATTGAATTGAATGAAGATTATTAAAAAAAAAATTATATTCACGAGAAAATTGCATAACGGAGCTTGAACATTGAATTGAGTGGTGGATATCATTGACAGGGGTACAAGGGGATTACGACGTTCTTCGTGGATAAGGAAATGCCAGGAGTGATAGTAGCCAAACCTGAGGATAAACTCGGGATCAAGGCCTCAGGGACCTGTATGGTGCATTTGGAGAACGTCAGGGTCCCCGAGGAGAATATCCTGGGGGTGTTTGGACAAGGGTATAAGTATGCAGCTGGTTTCCTTAATGAAGGGAGAGTGGGCATCGGGGCACAGATGATTGGAATGGCCCAGGGTGCCCTCGATGCTACCATTCCATACACTTTGGAGAGAAAACAGTTCGGACAGGATATTTTCTCATTCCAGGTGAGACAATTTCTGGAGAATATCTGTGAATGCAAGAGAGATACTGCAATTTTTATGAGAACCTTTCCTATAGAGGGGAATAAGAGTTGCAAAAAAGGTCATAACAACAATTTTCATATTTTTCTCAGATACAGCGATATTCCCTAAAAATGTCTGTTAATAAAATGACTTGATGCCTTTTTCGGTATTGAATAATATTTTTGAATAACCACACTTACTTGGCTTAATTCCAGTCGATGCAACATCAAATAGCCCAAGTAGTCACTGATCTTGAGGCAGCAAGACTCCTCGTGTACAATGCAGCACGAAAAGTGGAAGCAAAACAGGAATTCGCGAAAGACGCTGCCATGGCGAAACTCGTAGCGTCAGGTAGTCCTTCATGAATGATTTAATTCCTTCAATTTCCCTGAACCATTTATTTTCATTTTACAGAGACTGCCCTCAGAGTGACAGCCAAGTGCATAGACTTCATGGGTGGAGTTGGATTCACGACAGATTTCCCCCAGGAAAAATACTTCAGAGACTGTAAAATTGGAACCATCTACGAGGGCACTAGCAACATGCAACTGTCAACCATTGCAAAACACATTAGAAAAGAGTATTCATAATTTATAATTCTCCATCTTGCATTATTCCTCTAAAACATTCAAGTATGGACGCGCTATAATGGACTCGAACGATATTTTTTCGTTTGGAATGTTTTCCAATTTTTTAATCGGGATGAACTTCTTTCTTTAGACTGAGACGTCATTTTTCCGTTTTCTTGCACAATGAATTACAATTTTATCGAATCAATGGAGAACATTGATTCAATAAAATTGATATTTTTCTAAAAATGAATTTTTCAATGATTACTATAAAATAACTATGGAAAATGAGATATATGTGATGAAATAGAAGAAGATTTTAAAAGTAATGGACTCCCTCGAAAAAAATTATTATAAAAAATAAAGAAATCAATGAATAGGAAAATAATTTCTCTGCAATTTCTTTCCAATTATTAATGAAAGAACCCTTTAAAATGTTCCAATTAACCTTTCATTTATTTATTTCAAACCTATGGAAAGAATGAGAAAATGGCATAAGCTTTCAGGTAAATAAATAAACCCAATTGCATTCTAAACTCGGAAAGCCCTTTAATACAAATAATACCTCAATCTATTACACATCTACCGCACAACAGGTAACTTCAATTTATTTGGGGTCATGTGGAAGCTTGAACCCAACTAAATCAGCGGTCTCCCTGACACTCCTCTCCCCAGCCCCAGCGAACTCAGTGTTAATTTCCTTGTACATTCTCAACGACGCCAAATAGCAATTGTACGTCTCCGCCAAATGTCTCATCTCCTCTCTAGCCTTACAGAGTGTCTCCGAGGTCTCCTTGTGTGCCCTGGCCTGCTCCATCACATATTGTACAGCAATATTATCCTTAATCCTTCCCTCGCTGGATATCGCCCTGATCTCCCTCAGAAGGGAGCGAATCAGCTTCATATTGGAGTTCATTCTCACAAATCTCTGAAAGTGTTTCAACACAAACAAAAAAGTCTTAATATAATTCCTCAGTTCTAAACGCTAGATTCCTGATCGAGTAAAAAATTTCTTTGGATATCCTCGTGCTTTGAATTGAAAAAATAAGAATTCATCAATGTCTATGCAGTCCTCCTTGACAATTTAACATTCACTGTATCTCTGCCAATGGAAAATTGGCCCTTAATCTATTCAACTCTCTCTCAAAATCCTCCTGAACAAACGGAGGATTGCCAATGTTCTCCCAGAACTCTTGTGTCACCCTGTCAAGTTTCTCATTCGGAAAAACATGAATGGAAGTCGAGTTGAATGCTTCTCGGGCGGAATCAAAATTGGCCTCCAACTTGAACTCAGTGACACAAGGTATAACTCTCTTGATCAGCTCGACAGAGTCCCTGAGTCCTGCATCAGCGACAATGCCATCGTTAATTTCTCGAAATGAATTTGTCACGAGAATGCAGTTATTCAGTTCTCTCCCCCAGTTAGCGTGAATGCAATTAGCAATGATGCCTTGAAAACAGTGTGGCATGTAAAAGAGTGTCAAGTTATTATCCACTTTTCTCTTGCCCTCCTCATTAATCTCGATCATGGAAAGACCCAGTGTCTTCAGTACTTCGATCTCTTTGGCAAAAAATGCTGGATCATAGAGATGTACTCGACTCTTATATCTCGATTTAATAGTCAGAAGGGCTGCCAGCTGATATTTGGCACTACGACTCTCTGAAAAATTTCCCAATCCATAACAGACTATTTCCGGTATGGCAGTCACTTCAAGCAGGCTCAGGGACTCGGCCAAACCATTGTATAATATTTGTCGATATGGAGAATTCCTTAGGGCTATCACCGCCTCTAGAATTTCGCTGGAAAAATTCGGGGAAATGTCATTTCGAGGTTAGGGCATTATGTTTGTATTCGTATGAGGTCTACGCGGGTTTGAAACGGATTTAGGACTTACCGGAGAAGATGCTCTGTGTTTATTTCAGGTTCTCGGGGGTTCAGGGCTCGGTTCAGGATGTGATTCACGAATTGACGTCTTATATGGCTTCTCCGTCGTGTTACGAGTTGAAACTCGTCGAGTCCTGGCATGATTTTGAGGTTAGCACCCGACGCGGCCTACAATGGCGCTTTTTTTATTTGATTTCAAAAATCAAAAAGATCTCAAAAATATGTAGTGCAATAATAGTAATAATAATAATAATAATAATAATAATAATAATAATAATAATAATAATAATAATAATAATAATAATAATAATAATAATAATAATAA